TGGGCCTTGGAGTCTTTGGACGCTGCTGCTGGGCCTGGGTAAAAAAAAAAAATAGCCCAAAGTTCAGTGTGGGCCTGTGCCCACACTGGTCCTAACGTGGCTCCGCCCGCCTGCAGCACACCTGCTGGTTAGAGACGATCACTTTTGTGATGTTGACAGCTGCTTAACTTATGTTGCCATGGACTCACATTGTTTTGGTGTAACGAAGTCCACTGATAGAATGAAGAGAAATTTCAGGTGTCTCTAATGGCTGTTCCTCCACCTCTCCATCATCTTGCATAGGGATGGCAAAAAAAAAAATACATTTAACCAGATATCCGCTTGCACATTTCGTTGCCATCCCTAATCTTCCATGATCGGATGGCAAAAAAAAATACATTTAACCAGATATCCGCTGGCACATTTCGTTGCCATCCCTAATCTTCCATGATCATATCTCCATCTTCCTAATACCCGTCTTCCTAGACCAACCATCACATACCCGTCTCGTTGCCATCCTAATCTTCCATGATCATATCTCCATCTTCCTCTTCAAAGAACATTTCAATTACAATTAATTTCTTGCAATGATGACCCAATTTGAACTTCTCATTGCAATTGTAACAAAGCCCTTGATATGAATGTAAAATGCAAATTTTTTCCTCCTTATTTTATGTGCTCGTATAATTAATCAGTGCTAAAATGTACTCATTACGTTCATATTTTGATTTAGGTGGCAATCTTATGGATATGATGTAATTTGGAAGAAATAAGCGAACAATGGCCAAAAGGAAAGAAAACAAAGTTTGGGAATTAAAATGCAAATATTCAAAAGTTATATGAAACCTCACGATGAAGATTTGAGAGTGTTAGAGGTCAATCGGATGAAAAAAGAAGTCAAATGGATGAATTACAATCAAAGTATTATCATATATCAACTCCTAGCCGAAAAAGTTATGCATCCGATTTTCAGTCTCAATTTGAGACCCATTTTTTACATGGCAAACGATCAAGTTGAAAGATGATATCTGAAGCAAAGTTGTAACCTCCTAAATAATTTAGAAAACCGTTGGTTTTCCTAACAATCTCCCACTTTGCTACATATTATTCCTAAAACAATTATATTAACACATTCTTCAAAAAATACTATTCGTTACACTAATTTTCTTCCAATAACGAAAGACAAACAAGCTCTAAATGTGAAAGCAAGAAGAAAGTTCTTAACCTACCGCACTGATTAAATGGGCATAAGTGTAGTGTCTAGATACAATGAATGTGCAAGCAATGTGAAAAATAATCAACTCCAATGTCATTACCATGAGAAAAAGATTTGCCAACTACAAAATGTTTGGTTTGAGTACTATTTGAGAAGACACGACAGTGACGTTTTAATTAATGTTTTGAAAATCGATCACAGTATCTACTCAAAAAAGGTAAGGATCAAGGTTAAAAGGTTTAATCGAAGTCGAACTGGAATCAAACCGGATGCAATAAATATATACATACACACACAAACAGTATCTACTCAAAAAAGGTAAGGATCAAGGTTAAAAGGTTTAATCGAAGTCGAACTGGAATCAAACCGGATGCAATAAATATATACATACACACACAAACAATAAAATATTATAAAAATAATAATTTTTTTTAATTTGTAAATTAAATAAATGAAAAGATTGAGTTGAATATTACAATTCAGTTAGTTGAGATCCAAAATCAAATTAATCGATTAGACATACGTTTAAAAAATTACTTGGATGAGCATTTTAACACTTTTCGCTATCCCACATTAAAAATTTATGCAACCAATTGAGCGAAGTACATTTATAAATGAAGCATTCCATCTCATATTCCCATATGGGCCTTTGATTGTAGTGCATGAACCCATTAATGAATTTAATTTATTTTTTTAATTAAAATTGATGAAATCGGTAAATTTGCCCCCGGTTAACTGGTTTACGGTTGGAGGAGGGATATATCAATCCTTGAATCTTTAATCCTAGTAAAAATTCCTGATGAATTAGATAAAAGCTTTGAGTTCAAGAATAAAAATAGACTCGCATTCAGAAATAGTCAAATAGATGTATCCTTGTTTGATTTAGATAAAAATTAGAGTTTTAGTAAATTTTAATAAAAATTGATAAAATGTGTAGATTTTAATAATTATTGATTTTGACTTAAATCTAAGCATATTTTTAATTGAACTAAATAGGGACGGTGTCTTTCCGCATAGGGTAATTCCAATGAATAATGCTGCGCTCTTATTTAATTTCAATCCACATTATTTTTTTCATTCTCATTCTTCTACTCATTTTCAATCACACGTTCTTCAATAAAATAATATTTTCCATCACATCAATATCTTTTACTTCTTTTTCAAACACATATTCTTCGTCACATCAGCAGTAAAAATGCATTCTCACTTTCAAAATGTGCACCAAACCGGGGCTTAGTCTATTATATAGCGTCACATTGTTGATCTTTGGAGTCATCTATGGTGATCCCTCACCACTCTCCTTTACCCAATCAGCTGCAGCCACGTTTCGCTACCACAATCTGAAAATCATATCATTTGTCGATACAAATTCCCATTTTCTCGTACACAAGCTGCTCCTGCTGAATTCTCAACAATGTCTTATTCTATACCATCCAAAATGAAGGCCTGGGTTTACAACGAGTACGGCGGCGTGGAGGTGTTGAAATTTGAGGCCGATTATGCAGTGCCGGAAGTGAAGGATGATCAGGTTTTGATCAAGGTGGTGGCGGCGGCTCTTAATCCCGTTGATTACAAGATAAGGCTGGGGAAATTTAAGACCATTGATTCCAAGCCTCCTGTAAGTTTCTTTTACTCCTTTTTTCTCTTTAAGTTTTTATTCAGTGTCTTTGTGCCATTATGAGCATGTTTCGATAAGATTAAAATAATCAAAAATCACTTTTAAGTCAATTTTTTTATCAGTGAAGCATGATTTTGATGCCTTGGGAAAACTGAATAGTTTATCATGTACTCTTGGCCATGAAAATGGATGCTGGAGGTGTTACTCACAGAACATACATATTTTAATCTTCAGTTTAGCCCACTTGTTAGTTTGAAAACATAGTATAATTTTACCATTATCAATTTCGCTTAATATATCATTCTTAATATCCAATTTGATGGTGTAGATGAATCTTGACAAGATTCGTTGTAGAAAAATGCGGCCCCTGTGATGTTAAAACACCGTTTTGCACCTTGAAACCGAGCTCAGAATCCTCCAATCGAACACCACAAGAGAAAACTCAAAACCCCTCTTCTTCCAAACGGTTGCTCCACCGTTTTCTACTGCCCACACAGGTTGGTCTAATGGTGAAGAGAGTATTGTAACCACAATCTAGCCACAAAGGCAAAGGAGAAGAAAAGGGACGAAGTAGCACACAGCAAGGTCACGTTTTCTCTCACAAGGCACAAGTTCTCTCACACACTATGAATAGAAACGGGTTAGCATACATATAGTATTAGGTATAGAACTAGGTTAGGCCCAATAAGCAAGCTAAGGCCCAAGTAGAAAACATAGGTGGGCCATCCAAGTTTGGGTCGGTTTAGGGTCGGTTTACCAATTGTGGTGTTTGATTAACTTTCAGTCATTTGGACTATGCCGACTGAATTAATACAACGTAATTCATCATCGCTCGGGGGAGGTCGTTTGACAACAACCCAAAATCTTTGAGAAGTCTTTCTCACTTTCTTTCTTCTATTTGTTATTTTTTGTCGCTCCTATTAAATAAATTTGTGTTATAAACATAACCAATTGGAGATGAAGTTTCTATATGCAAGCTAAGCTAAGAATCGGATATTCACAAAGTCGCACAATAACCGTATTATCAGCATCTAACAAAAGTAAATGCTAATTTATTGGTTTCATTTCTTTTTTTCCAACAGACTGTTCCAGGCTACGATGTTGCTGGTGTGGTAGTTAAAGTTGGTAGTGAAGTAAAAGGCCTAAAAGAAGGAGATGAAGTATATGGTGACATAAATGAAAACGCACTAGAACAACCTAAACGATATGGCTCCTTAGCCGAGTACACATCTGTGGAGGAAAGATTACTAGCTCTTAAGCCCAAGAATCTTGATTTTGCACAGGCTGCTAGTCTTCCTCTGGCAATTGAAACTGCCTACGAAGGTCTTGAAAGGTCTGGATTTTCTGCTGGAAAATCCATACTCGTTTTAGGTGGTGCTGGTGGAGTTGGATCTCTTGTAATCCAGGTAAAACCTATAAGATGTGATTTGGTTCATCTGAGGGATTATCTGTAGGACAACATTAAGAGCACGTCTGGTATCGATATTGGACTGGACCGTACTATAAATAAGATTTTACCTTTTTATTAATGCATAATACTATCGAGTCCACTTTATCAAACATGCCACGGTTGTTTAGATTCTTTCAGTACTAGGAATTGTTAGCCAACATTTAAACCATCTCTGTGTTTATGTGATGCAGCTTGCAAGACATGTGTTTGGTGCTTCAAAGATTGCTGCTACTGCCAGCACAAGTAAGCTGGAATTTCTGAAAAGCTTGGGAGCTGATTTGGCTATTGACTACACCAAGGAGAACTTTGAAGACCTACCAGAAAAATTCGATGTCGTTTATGATGCTGTCGGTAAGACAATATCCCAATTGCTACTAAATTTGAAACCATCTTAATACTGTTAGCTTCATTTAGTGTTGACATTATGGGACTAAACATTTCTCCTCCTAATTCAGTGGATGATCCTTGTTACCATACCCCGAGCTATTGGATAATAACTCATTTTGCACCGAAACTTAAAAGAGACTTTTTACATCTAAGTGGATATGTTAGGAGAAAGTGGAGATTAATAAAATAAAATTAGTACATCTCTGTCCTAAAAATGAATCGTTGTGGAAGGTTTGCATGTTGTACGGTGTTCTCAGGTATCTGAAGTACCTAAGGTCCTTACTTGACATGATGACGTCTGTGGTAAATATGCCTGTCTATTACTGTGGCAATGTCAAGATTGTTGCTTTCTTGTGTGAATGGGTTATTTGGGGAAGCTTATATAAAAACCTTCGATTCTTTTCTTCTGTTGAAAAAGGAATGCGGTATATATTATGGGTCAGTAAGAATGTGGTAGAGAAAAGCTTTGGTAGGACGGTCTTATATGCACATGTAATAGGACCGTCCATTCAAATCACGTAACATCGGACCTCGAGTCACTCAAATTGCGACATCTCTGCATACAAGATGGTAAGATAGAAACAAAGTCGATGCAAATGCTGCGGTGTCGTGATTTGAATGGACGGTCCTACCACGTGTACTTATAAGACCGTCCCACTGAAGTTTTGCCAGTAATAGAGTCATGAAAAATGATTCATATAACGTACCTCAATATTTGTCAAGAATAATGCTTAGTTTTTTTTTTTATTGGAATTGGGGTTGCTCGCGAAGAGTTCACATATTGGATGACTAATGATGGTGTCATTTTTCTTTGAAAAACTACAGGGCAGGGAGATAGGGCAGTGAAAGTAGTGAAGGAAGATGGCTGTGTAGTATACATAGCTGGTGCAGCAACACCACCTGGTTTTTCATTTTTAGTTACTTCAAATGGAGAAATGCTGAAGAAGCTAAATCCATTTCTGGAGAGTGGGAAGGTGAAGCCGGTGCTCGACCCCAAGGGGTTATTCCCTTTCGACAAGGTTAATGAAGCTTTTGCTTATCTAGAAACAAACCGAGCCACGGGAAAGGTGGTTATATATCCGATTAATCCGTGATCAGCAACTAGGAATACTAAGCTCATTCTGTCTACAGATATATACTATGATGTTAGAATAGGTTGATAATATTTTGAATAAGATGTTAGAATTGCAATGTGGTTGAGAATATTTTGAATAATTATAAAGTTTGTATGGGGAATCTTGTAGATATTGTTGAAAGTATGTTGTGACTGGCATATGTATTAGCTCGTGTCAAATGGAGAATAATAAAGATGCAGGTATGAAATAATATAGTCAGAAAATATGCGGAGTTCTGCATTTTTCTTCCTTTTTCTTTCTATGTTGATTTTTGTTTTTTTTTTTTGGTAAGAGGAGCAAAAGGGTTAACGATGAAGATGTAACATCCCAAAATTTCATAAACATAGGAGTGTTACAAAAAAACTTACTCTTTTTTTTTTTGTGTTAAATGTGGAACAATAAAAAAAATAAATTCCTTTAAAATAAAATAATTGGAATATCCATAAATTTAAACTAAACATTAAATTAAAGGACAAAAAAACTTAATGTTTACTTTTTTCTTCGATCCCATTGGCAGCCTGCATCACAATCCTGCCACAAATCCAATTGACTCAACTAACCTTTAAATGTATTGTAAGAGTGAGTATTTAAAAATATCAGTAAGATATGTGCAGTTTTCACGCATAATTATATAACAATCGATTTAAAAATATCAGTAAGATATGTGCAGTCTTCTCTTATGGAAATATATTGGTGGTCAAGCGACACACCCATCTTAGATTATATTAAATTCTCGAAGGATTTTATATCTCTTTAAAAAGAATCTGAAAGTCCACTGACAATTCATGCATAAATAAATGAATACATAAAGGTATACGAAAATAAATCACTTACACATAAGTATCTTATCTTGATAGATTAAACGAATTTTTTTTGAAAGGGATGCATGCTCTAAAACTTTTCTTATCTTTCTCGATTGCTATTTTCAATGGTACACGTGTATATCATTTCTAATGTGCCTTGTTATTTTTCATTGTATATATTCTGTCCCATGTGATGTATTTATATAGCCTACTATGTACTTGGAGTTTTTGTATGCGTAGAAGTCTGAAGGGAAAAAAAAAAAAAAAAAACGTGTTCCACCAAACAATTGGATAAGAATGGGCCTTAATGGAATTTGGATTATGTTCAATTATTAGCTTCCTAATTAAATATACTCACAAAAAAAAAAAAAAAAGATTCGGGATATAAGTTACTTATCCCATGTTTGTCATTCTTTAAAATTTTAAATTGTTTGCTATAGTACCATTCTCCACCACACATTTACACAATAAAATATTCTACACACAAACCAATAAAGTATCCTTACTTTTTAATCACACAATGTCTATCGATCTACTATTCTATAATACATTACAAGAAATTAATGGCTCTAAAACAGGGCCTTAAGTAACTAAAATTCTATTAACCATGTTTTCCTTTAGTCGAGTCTAATTTGGTACGGTCTTATCCAAAATAATTTTATCACGAGTCTATAACACATGATTAAATACAATATATTCAACAAGCCAAATATTGATATACTAATTTTCGCCCTAGAATATTTAATTATTTGACCCAAGAAAGTAAAAGAATTAATACATATCTCGCTTTTGTTATTCAACTTTCCAAAATAATAAAAATGCATCTAAATCAAAATCATCATCACCAAAATAATTCCATTCCAAAAAATTTCGGGGCCTGACAGAAGAACCTCTTTAAAATCTCCCCATAAGTGAATGTTGTATCGAGTCCTCGATTACAAGTAGAAAACTACAACTGACTCGTGGATTGAATTAGGTCTGGATAAAACTCCCAAATCTAATTGAACTGAATCGAATCCGAATCGAACTGAGTCAAAATTAGTGATTCTTCTTAAATTAAATACTTGAATGAGTATCTGAATTGAGAAACGACGTGTTCGATTTGATTCTTGATTTTAGACCAAAAATTGAAAAATCGGATCTCCCTACTTTTTAAATTTTTTTTATATTAAATAAGTCAAATTATTTTAATTTTTTCTAATTTAATTTATCAACTAATTAATTGAGCCCAGAACCAAAATATGATTTTTTTTATTTCTAATTTCCAGCTCAAAGTCAAATTAATCAAGATTTTTGTTTATTTATGTTTTTCAATTATGCTTTGTAGAGTTTCTTAATGTGACAAGTCAAGCAATGAATGCTTAATTTAAATGGTTGGTAAGTACTAGCAAAATTTAAAAATATTTTATTTTTGTAATTTCTAATTTATATTTCATTTTTTATGTATACTTGATGGCTTGAAGCAAATGAATCAATGAGAAGAAATCACCAATGTTTTAATATCATTATTTAATTTTTAGTAATTTGTATACATTTGTGAATGAGTCTTATTATAGAACTTGTTGTTTGTATAATTTTAAATGGGACTACGTTATTTTATAAGAGCTAACATTGAATATGTCATTACTTAAATTAATGTAGTGCTGTAAATATTTTAAAAAATGTAACTATGGTACGGAACTCAAGGAACCGAACCGTTCGGTTCCATAACTAAATGTGGACTTGACGTTCTACTTACTAAATAACCAAAACATTTGGGTTCGATTCGGTCGAACCGAAATGAACCAACCATGTCCAGCTCTTGATTGAACTGAGTTTGTCGACGTCAATTTGCCAATGAAAGATCGATGTACATATGGCTATAAATACGCGATTTTCTCCACAATAACATGATAATATTTAAGCATGTGTTCACATCCCCCAATAAGTTTTGGCTTCTAATGGAATTGCCCGTAAATGGGAGATGGAGGGACGTATCTCACTCGCTGACTATCAGGGGAGGATCCATGGGTGTGAATGTGTGATCAAGCACCCAACAGAAAAGGGGAAAAAAACCTAAATAAAAAAAAATTCTGGTGGCTCATTTCACCAAGTCAATTTTGAATTAAAATTCTCAAACGTTTAGGAAAGATTCGTAAGATACCTTTAAGTTTGCATAATCATCAAATGATGAGGTCGCAATAGCGAGTTAAAAATGATTGTATGAAATGGGGTTTATGTGTGTCACATTTTTTAACTTATTTTTGGACTATATATCTCAATCGGCAAAGTAGGTTTTTGGTACCATTTTGAAAATTTTGCGATCAGCTATAAGACACATATTTCGAAATGAAAAATCGCTAGACGATGTACTTAAGATAACTGGTCAAAGATGGTTGGCTACTTTGGGATTAATAATTTTATCTCGTTCGTGTTAACTTATACGTCAACTTAAATAAAGTTCTACTTAACTTCAATTGAGACTATAAGAATAATTAGGCCCCCATTTTGCCCAATTATTCTCCATTAAACTTCATATAACGTATCGGTCAAGCCATCCGGTTAATGGACCATCATTTATTTAACATAAAATCTTATGTGGACTAACAGCTTGCTGATATGTCATCAAAATAAGTAAATAAATGTACTTTCTTTCGGGCCAAACACGTCTTTCATCTCTTATCTCCATTATCAACGTTTTTCCCAAATGTGTCACTCCCCTCCACAAACATTCTCTCTTTTTTCAACCCACACAGCAACATTAGCCAAGGTTTTAGAATATAGAGTTTTCAAAAGACAATAGCCTTCACTCTCGAATCGATGTTTAGCCAGAAAAAAAAATACGATTTTTGTTTATTTTGATATATTTGGAGATATTAAACGAACACGTCAACAAGCTGTTAGTCTACATAGAATTTTCTGTTAAATAAATAATGGTCCATTAATTGGTTGGCTTGATTGAAATATTATATGAAGTTGATGATTGTTCGGTAAAATTCTGCAAGTGTACGAGATCGTTGATAAGTAATAATGTAGTGAGTTAAAGCATCATCCCACGAGGAATTACGTTTAATTATAGTATACTAGTATTTACCAAATTCGATCAATGGTAACAAAATAAAGTGATTGTTGATTTTTTCGCTAAGTTATGCTATGAATGCAATAAACTATATATTTTTTTTTTTTATCAAATAAGGGATGAATGTATTGAATGTCCAACTCCACCTATTAACTTCTAGTTCCAATTCTCCACTTGTGTTGATCGGTGTAATTAATGTGTTTGTGATAATCGATAAGCCAATTTTATTTAATATTATTTTTCAAGATATATTAAGGTTATGTTTAACACGACTCGACCCCACCGAACCATATTTCTAGTTTGAATTCATATAAAAAACATGTATTTAATTTCAGGATTATCGCACACGTCATAAATGTTATTCCTAATATTTATTTCCCATGTGTTTCATATATACCGTTCTACCAATTGTGAGTTTTCCAACACTACAAATAAACAACTAATTGTCCTAATGGTGCTCAACCATTAAAATAATGATTAATTAATTTGATAATGTGTGATTATTAAATAAGTTTTGACCTACAAAAAATTGTGATTTATGATTAAATTTATAATTGTAATCACATTTTGTGTCTTTGTGACTATAATGTTGTATGATTTATGACTAATATATAATTGTGATCATAAATTGTTTATTTTTCTGACCTTAACCTATTTAATTAATAGATAGGTGTTTCGCGCGACTAGTCGCTAACAATTAAAAAGGGATCAGACGATTGTGTAAGGAACAAACCTTTTGAGACAAAGTCTCAAAAATGGGTGTTTCTTGATGAAAATTATAATTGAAGATAAACACGATGCCTCCATGGGGCGCAAGCACACGAGTACAAGAAAATGATGAATTAAAGTTAATTTAAGAAAAGTAAATTACATATTCTCTATTTGAGAGTGATTTGTTCGGTCCTTTCTTCATTGTCTTCTTTTTTCTTTTATACTTCTTGGACAACTTTCAACCATTTGGAAACTGCTTGTAACCGCCCACTTTCTTTGTCATGGCCAATTTGTCGAAAACTACTGTTCGTAACTATTGCCACTATACTTTTTACATAACTGCTTGCCATTGAAATTCCTAATTCGTGGGGCGTGACACGATGTGCTTAAACTATTCGAAACCGCTGCTTTAGATAACAACAAGACGTTATCTTTACTAGGATCTTAGGCGACTCAATAATTTGGGCTACGACTGGTCCATCGCTCTGGGCTACCATAAAACACTTCATTTGCTTAGATTTTGGGCGTTCTGCAGGCTTGGACGATGATGCTACTTTGTTTGTAGGCTTAATTCCTGGACTTCTTAATTGTGCTTCATTCTTTGGGTCATTCAAGTTGGACTACACTTTTGTATGTCAACAATAGGTCACAAAAATTTTATCTGATGGTCACAAACGTGATACCTAATTCTTGAAAGAATTCACAAGTTTCTTAAATTAGAAATGTATCTTAGAAACTATAGTAATTATGCATTTTTCCCTTCTCCGACTAGGTTGTAGTTAACGCTTATAAAAGTCTTTAAGATGGCCGGCCCATCTACAAATCCGACTTCAAATTGGATGCTTGGTTATCAGGTCCAAATATGTTTTAAGAATTTAATTTTTTTATATTTTTATATTTGATAATAAATAAGAATCATTTTAATTTATTTTTGTTAATTCTGATTAATAAAAAAATATTTTTAAAAATTTATAAGTTTAAAATTTATAAGCTTAACCAAACATACATTGATAGTTTATATTTTGGTTAATATAACCTTTATACTATTTTTGATCTGGTTTGCAATTTGAAAAATTGAACGCCACAAGGAAAATTTAAATGCCTGGCTAAGTTTATAAATTGACTTATAAATAAATAAGCAAGTATGAAAATAATCAATATTTATAATTGTTAACATTCGACTTGCGACCTAATTAAAAACTGATTGTTACATACACTTAGTATATCTTAATTTGAGATCGACTTCATAAGGTCAACTCGTAACGCCGTGGTTCAAGGGAATATAATGATTATAGATTCCTTACACACTGATAAAACATCCAATCAAATTAATTATTGCATTCAGAACTTAAGTCAGTGCCCACTTATTTCACCAATCATATGATATAGTTTCGCTTACTCACTAACTCATTAATTATTAGGGACTCACTTAAATGACCGTTTTATGATAACCTGACAAGCCAATATCAGCAACCAATGGAGATATGACAGTAACGTACTTTTTAAGTTCGACATTGGTGATTGACAAGATAGGAAAATAAGTGATACTATATTTTCTTTTCCTATAAAAGGATGCGAGGTATCTTTGAATAGGAAAGAGAAAGTGGTGATATTTACAATATTTCCTTTGGTGAAACACTTGTAACTTAGAAGTGATTATCAATAAAAATCTTGAGTTTCTCTTTATTTTGCTTTCAAAGTTGACTTAAATTGATTCTTACACTAAATACCTTTCCAAGGAAGAAATATTAATTTACTTAAAAATTTCAAAAAAAGTAATTTTAAATAATTTTAAACTTAAATAAAGACGAATCTACCATCTAGTCAGTCTAACAGATTACTTTAAAAATGGAAGAATGCTGGCCAGTCCAGCCTGCTGTTAAGTAGATGAATCCAATTGGTGAAAGCAATGCAAAATAAAAATATTGCATTGTGTCTACAAGAAAAATATTAAATTGCATTTTTAATTTACAATTTGTGCTTAAAAATGGCATGAAAGTATCCGGTCAAAATATTTTGTTTAAAAAAGTTAACTAGTTAAAAGAGAAGTAAATTACATATTCTATATTTACATATTTAACGATTTTTCTCGAGTACAAGTTATTTTATTTTATTTTTCTTTTTCTCACAATGTAACATGCATGGAATTTTCATAATTAAGCAATAGTTCAAGACAATTTGAATTGCCAGAGAACGAAAATAAAGTAAATCAAATAAAATTTTATATTATCGATCGGTATAAATATCAACAATTACGAATTTGATTAGTTTCTCCTCAATCCAAATAGGCCACGCTCAGGGGCGGATCCAGTACCTGGTCAGTCCTCGCAGCCGCCAATGCTGGATCCGTCGGGAACAATTTTTTTTTTGGTTGATAATAGATGAATATTTAGAATATATAGTTGATAATTCATTCTATTGTCAAATATTTCTCATAGCTTATTTGGTTAGAGCTTGCATTTTCATACTATAGGTCCTAGGTTCGAGTCTCCTTTCAACAAATCTATTATTTAATAGTTTTAGTTCTACAATTTTTACCAAAATTAATGGAATAGGGCGGGGATTCAAACCTCTAACATTTCTTAGGATTATTGAGAAATTTACCATTATGGCAATTGATGAATTTGAAACTAAAATTAAACAGAATAATATATGTTAAGTTTTAGTGATGTTAATGCAATTGTAAAAATTCGAACCCACTCTTTCTTTAAATTATAACTTGGCTAGAATGTCATTTGGTGAATATTGTTAACTCATATAACAAAATTATATATATTTAGTTTGAACAAAATAATTGTTATATTTAAATTTTAGGTTTTGATTCCCTTTTTTTTTTTTCAAAATACATTTTTTCTCTCTTCTTTTCAATCACATTTAAAATAATATTATACAGAAATTCAAAACTTCTCCTTATTTTTAAACACATATTCTTCATCAAATCAATATTTTAAAATGCATTTTTTGCAAAAAAAAATAGGCATCAAATTGGCTCTTAATATTTTATTGCTACCGACGATCAACAGTCGCCCGTGTTGACTTAAAATTCTGGATCTACCATTGGCCACGCTCACTGGTATCTGAGCAATTCTTCGTGTTGCTTTTACATTACTTCATCTAAAAAATTTTACACCATTAAATGTTATATTTAACCTTTGTTGATCCCATTTTTCCAAAATACGTTTTTTCCTCTATTCTTTTCAATTACACATTTTTAATAAAATAATATTACACGTAAATCTAAATTTTTTTCTTATTTTTTAATTACATTTTTTCCATTAATCTATTATTCCAAGATGCATTCTACACTAAAAATGGAGCTTAAAAAGACCCTTATATATTCGACATGCTTTTTTAAATACAAGTCGAGCCATTTTTCTTTGAAAACGACACAGTTACTTAGGTTGTGTTCTCTTTGTGTTTCAGTTTTCAGTTTTCTATTTTGAATTCGTTTTGTATTTTGTGTTTTGAGTATCTGTTTTGAAATTATTGAAAATGCGTTCTTTTTGTCATTCTGGAAAACTGTTTCTGAAAATAGAAAACTAGAAAACGCGTTTACTTTGAAATTTTGAGAAATTTTTTTAATAATATTTTATTCAAGAAATCTGGTTATTCAATTAATTTTAATAGTTTAATGTTAATATAGTTGAAAATAACATATAAATTTTAATGTTAATATAGTTAAAAGAAATTGAACTGCTCCTTCAATTGCTACTTCGCAAATTTTACAGTCTTCCTACTCTCCAAGAAATCACCTCTTGTTTCCATCTTCACAGGCAATGGAGCTGAGAAAAAAACCTCCCATTCGACTTGTTTACTTTCACTTTCTACATAATTTCACAATTTCATCCTCAGCCTCCTTCAAAGGCACTCCAATTTCTTCCAACTTCTCGGCACAGATTGTCCAGGAGCTCTCTCATCATCAATTAATCATCCCCATTAATGCTAATATTAAAGTTTCCTTTTTCGAACATGGCTCCACGGTTGATCTGTAAACCCTGTAAACATTCCCATTCTCGGCAAAGGTTACATTTTTTCTTCCTTTGGATTGAACCCCATCATCCCTTTTCATCAAACTACTATTTCTATTCTGAAAAACACCTTGATTTCTTATCATAGAAATGTCACTAACACCAGAGTTTTCAATTAACTCAA